ATATTGTTCTTAGGAACCTGTAATTGTTTATATATTGATTTCATATTAGTATGGAGTACATTGGATGTTTATTTTTTCATTCTTGTGATACTTTACTGAGAAGAATGTATTTCAACTCCATCTAGGTAAATGTAAAAGATGTAAAGTCTCCATCTTTTTTAAGTGGCTGCATAATATTCCATGGTATACATATACCACAGTTTGTTGATCCATTCATGCGTTGATGGGCACTTAGCTTACTTCCATGACTTGGCAATTATGAATTGAGCTGTAATAAGCAAATGTCTTTGTAGTAAAATGATTTTTGTTCTGGGTAGATACCTAGTAATGGGATTGCAGAGTCGAATGGAAGGTCTACTTTTAGACCTTTGAGGAGTCTCCACAATTCTCTCCAAAAGGGCTGTATTAGTTTGCAATCCCACCATGGTGTAGAAGTGTTCTCTTCTCTCCACATCTATGCCAGCATCTGGTATTTTGGAACTTTGTGATGTGAACTAATCTTGCTGGGGTTAGGTGATATCTTAGGGTGGTTTTCATTTGCATTTCTCTGATGATTAAAGACGATGAGCATTTTTTCGTGTGTCTTTTGGCCATTCATCTGTCATCCTCCGAGAAGCTTCTGTTCAAATCTTTTGTCCACTTACAGAGAGGGTTATTTGCACTTTTCTTATTGTTTAATTTGCGTCCTCTGTAGATTCTAGTTATCAGGCCTTTGTCAGATTCATAACATGCAAAAATCTTCTCCCATTCTAAGTGCTGTCTGTTTGCTCTGTTTGTGGTACTCTTTGCTTTTCAGTTTGATCAAGTCCCAGTTATTTATTTTTAGTGTTGCTGCAATTGCTAGGGGTAGGGGTAGGGTCTTCCTCATAAAGTTTTTTTTTTTTTCCCCAGGCCAACATCTTAAAAGTGTTTTCCCCACACTCTCTTCTAGAATTTTTATTGTTTTTTTCTTAAATTTAAATCTTTTATCCAATGAGAATCAATTTTTGTCAGTGGCGAGAAGTGCAGGTCCAGTTTCAGTCTTCTGCATGTGAATAACCAGTTCTCTCAGCATCATTTGTTATAGGTGCTGAGATTCTTTTCCTATTGTATGTTTTTGTTAGGCTTATCAAATATTAAATGACAATATATGGCTGGGTTCATCTCTAGATTCTCTATCCTATTCCATAGATCTATGTCTCTATTTTTGTGCTAGTACCATGCTGTTTTTATAGCTATATACCCTTGTAATATAACATGAAGTCTGGCAATGTGATCCCTTCAGATTTGTTTTTATTTCTAACAACTTCATTTGCTATTTGGGGGTTTTTCTGGTGCCATATGAATCAAAGTACTATTTTTTCAAGATCTTTAAAGTATGACATTGGTACTTTAATGGGGATTGCATTAAATCTACAGATTGCTTTGGGTAGTATGGACTTTTTTTTTTTTTTTTTTTGAGACAGTCTATGTCACCCTCCATAGAATGCTGTGGTATGACAGCTCACAGCAACCTCCAACTCTTGGGCTTAAGCGATTCTCTTGCCTCATTCTCCCAAGTAGTTGGGACTATAGAGGCCTGTCACAACGCCCGGCTATGTTTTGGTTGTAGTTGTCATTGTAGTTTGGCATATCCAGGCTGGATTTGAACCCGCCAACTTCGGTGTATGTGGCTGGCGCCCTAGCTGCTGAGCTATACGCACCAAGCCTAGTATGAATATTTTAACGATGTTGATTCTTCCCCGAAGCGTGGAATGAGGGGAGGCCTGGCCTTCCTGGGTGAATGTAAGTATTCGTGCCCTGGAGGGGGAAGAAGGCGTATTCAAATGAAAATTATATACAAAAGGAATACTCTTACCAATTTCATTATACATGATTAAATTCTTTTATGTATTTAGTGAAAAGAAAGCTGCATACTGATAAAAACCAATTGCTTTGGACATTAGCATCTATTAGCTATATGAGAAAGAGAAAGTTGATGTTGATAAAGCAAGCAGGTTGATTATTAGTGAAATAAGAGCTTTGTGATTTGGATTGCAAATCGTAGAGAAATTACATAATACACGTCATTGGCTTTATGTCTTGTGTCTGAAATAATCTGCATTGCCCACATGCTGGGTCAGCTAGTTGTACATCCTTGGGTCAAACACTGAGAAGAAATATAATGATCATCTTTGAATAATAGAAGAAGGGTGTCAAGGGTCTGCTCAGCACAAACCCCCCACGTACAGCAGCAGAGAGCCCTTCCCTCCCCTCTCTAGGTAGAGCTGCTTGCAGAGGTGTGACTTTGGCCAGACACCAGGTTCTGGGGTCAGGCTTCTTTCCCTGATGATGTGTGTGTGCAACATGAAGAATTTTGACTAATCGCTGAAGATGGCTTTTCCAACTCCAATATTTTGAATTATCCCATTGTTGTGTGCCCTGCAGTTTTTTATTATTAGAGGCAATGTAGGATGGATGAGAGGCTTGTTTTGCTTTTAGTAACCTGGGGAAATGTTTGTGTTTTTTTTAAATTAAATCGTAACTGCATACATTAATGCATTTATGAGGTACAATGTGCTGGATTGATATACAATATGGAATGTTTACATCAAACTGATTAACATGTTTTTTGAAAGGAGGATGAGAAAGGAGATTTAGGCAAATCAGTATCACTAAGAGAATTTTCCAAGTGTTAGTTAGGTCATGGTTGATTCCTTTGAAACCAGTAGTTCTCTGTGTGTGGTCCCCAGACCAGTGGCATCAGCTGCTTCTGGGAAATAGTCAAAAAAGCAGATTCTTGGGCTGTACCCCAAAACAGCACTCTGAAAACCCTCCAGGTGATTCTGATGCAAACACACATGATCTTAGATGATTTGCCCCGGCTCATTGATAATGATATCTAGTTATTATCAATATAAAATAATAACTAGAGTAAACTTCAGACACTTAATTTTTCTATACATACAGCCCCCAGATTATTAACAACCCACCTTCAGCATTCAGTACTTACAAGGGGCTCCCAAGACTCCCTATGATGATTATTTACAATTAATCAAATCAATAATTCTGAACTACTTTCTTTTGCGCTTATAAGTGCATGTGCGCAACCCGCTGTGTCCTCTCACAGCCCTGGGCTGTGTCCGCAGGTCCCTCGAGCACAGCACGGCTGTTAACTTTCTAATGCAATTTTGTGTTGTTGGTGTTCCCGCTAGGACTTCACCTCCAAAGCTGAAGTCCTCAGCAAGTCCAGGTGAACCTGCACCAAAGAGAAAGTTGGTGTTGATGGAGGTGAAATAATTAAGCATTGGGGGGAGGTTGGATGCCGTCCCTCTCCTGGGCGCAGTGGGCTCAGTCGCCCAGGGCATCTGTGAAGGTGCAGTGGGGGGATGCAGCGTGAGAGAGGCGGCAGCTCCAGCAAAGTGTCAGTTGTCAGAAGGCAGAATAGTGGATTAATTGCAGAAACAGAAAGGTGGTTACTGGTTTGAACATCAAAATAAGTGTAACATTCCTTTAGCCTAGCATGGATGGAGCATTAGGCGGGTGTTAACCTTTAATACTGCTTTTGAAATTTCTTCTACCTCCTGTCTAAACCTTTGTATGAGGTTGTTTTTATGTTTGTGTGAATTAAAAGAAAGAGCACAATAGTTTATGTAACTTATTGTGACAGTACAGGGATATTATTATTACAGTATCACACTGCATTATTACCTCATATAAGCCATTATAGCATTGTTATTCTTATCATTACTACTGTATGTGTGCTGCCATCAGGGGTTCCAGTTACCTATGAATCTCACCTACAGACTTCTCAGGAATGTGCCTCTTCTGTCACCCAGGGATCAGCCTGTATATTTGATTCACTATAATTAGTTTTCATTTACATTAAAGAGCACAGAATCTGCAATACCTGGTGAACAAGGGTCCCTATTGCCAAGCGGAGGAGCCAAGTCCTGAGCCCAAACCCCCAGGGCCCTCTCTGGAAAGAGTGGCCTGGAGCTCTTTGGACAGTTCATGGGCATCTAGGCCAGGGAAGGTGGTGCTTGGGCATTTCCAAGTCAGGCTGCCTAATTACAGATCCAAACGGGGGTTCAATCCTATCTTTTGAAGAGAAATTCTCTTTGTCATCTTTTGAACCCACCATCTTTGTCTCCTCTGGCTTTGTAAAGTACAATTTTTTTACTAGGGCCAATCATTCTTTGAGTTTTACTGCTGTTTCTGATCCTTTTAAAATGTAGCTATTTTATCCTATTAAAATACATATCAAAACACTTCCTAACTTAAAATTAAAACCTGTGGGGCTTTGCCCATTGGAAAAAGTCCTAAAGTTTCATTTGGCCTTGTCTTTCCTCTGAGTTTTCTAGGCCCATGAGCATGAACTCTTGTTTCATACTAGCCACCATATTTGTATTAGTTTAGACTTTGCTTTTTCCTACAGCCTGAATGACATGGCTTGTCCTATCTTGTCCTCAGGATATAAGTGGATGTGGATGAATGAGCCTTCCTGGGTCAATGTGGATGAAGGAGCTGCTCCTTAGTCACTACTATTTTTAATTTCTTTTTTTTTTTTTTTTTTTTTGGAGACAGAGCCTCAAGCTGTCCCCCTGGGTAGAGTGCCATAGCATCACAGCTCACAGCAACCTCCAACTCCTGGGCTCAAGCGAGTCTCCTACCTCAGCCTCCCAAGTAGCTGGGACTACAGGCGCCCGCCACAACGCCCGGCCATTTTTTGGTTGCAGCCATCATTGTTGTTTGGTGGGCCCGGGCTGGGGATTCGAACCCACCACCTTAGGTGTATGTGGCTGGCGCCTTAGCCACTTGAGCCACAGGCGCCGAGCCTATTTTTAATTTCTTAAGGTTCCTCTTCCTCAGTGATAATTTCTTGTTTGGTAACTGTTACCTGTATGAGAACAGAAACATTGTCATTGTGTCCCCAGGGCTTGCTGGAGTTCAGCAAACATTTGTATATTGAGTAAACTCACCAGGACTTATTTCTGGGCTCTTTTTCTGTTGTTTATTTACTCTGGTCTCTTGCATTTTAGTTTGGGGCAGAATTCCGAAGGTTCTCCTTGAACCGTCACAAGCCTGGGAAGTTTGAAGATTTCTACAAGTTGGTCGTGCACACCCACCACATCTCCAACAGTGAAGTGACCATTGGCTATGCAGATGTGCACGGTGACCTGCTTCCCATCAACAATGATGATAACTTCTGCAAAGCTGTCTCAAGTGCGAACCCCCTGCTCAGGGTCTTCATCCAGAAACGAGGTACCAAGGAGGCTGACCTGGCTAGTCTTATTCAGCAATTATTTTAAAAATAATTATAGTTTTGTCTGCCATTACAGAACCTTGTGATTCTGTTTCCCAGCTTGTAGTGGGAGATTAAGGAAATTAAAATGGTTTTGGTCAATATTTATTTATTAGAAAGACTTAAAATATAGCAGAACCTCCATAGATGACCACCTCCTTAAGTTGACCTAATTTTCACAGACTAGCCGAACGTGCCGCACATGTGCGTGTCAGTATAGTAGGCCTTGTTCCTTATGGTGACCACTTCCATGTGTTGACCGGTTATAGTTCCTTCAGTGGTCAGCTTACATAGGTCCTCCTGTATTTAAACTGACTGCATTTTCCGCCTTAAAGAATGTTAACTTATGACTTTTAAATACTGAGGAAAAAACAACATTGATGCTTTAGATATTTTAACTGGAAGCGAGTGAATTAAGAAATGAAAAGGTATCAGTTAGTAGACTGGGAATGAAACCTGAGGTTCCTAGTACATGTCTTTCACTGTCTTTTTAGGATTAGGAAAACGTACTAGCAGTAAATTACAACTTTGGTTGACTTTTAACTTTGAAGCCCTAGCTTTGTAATAAGTAATAGCAATATCATTTTGTGTCAAAATAAATTAGTAAACAGCTTAATGGTAGAAAGCTCAAGATTAGGGGGCAGGTGCCCTCCTGTAGACTCACTAGAGGAGCTCATGTGTCAGAACTGCATTTTGATTTTTTTCTCCATCTCTAAACTTGAGAGTACCTTGTCATTTTAAAATAATATGCTGAAGGAAAGACCTACCTGCAGGGGAGGCTTGACATTGGGAAAATGGGACTTTCGCAATTGATTTGGTGATGATAGCCCCTCCTTCCTTGGGAGGACCTGTTGTACACATGGAGATACCAACTGCCTATAGCAGCAGAATGACCAGTGGACACCCTGCACACGACTTGTACAGTGGTCGCTGCTGCCAGGCATTTACTGTGCAGCTCAGGAGTCTCTGGGGAATTGGGGTGGGGGTGGGAGGTGGGGGGCTGAGACCAGAGGGAGGATCTGCAGTGTCCTGTGGGAAGGGCTGCCTCATTCCCATCTGCAGATCAGGCCCCTCCCACTCATGGCCCTCCCTCCCTTTAGGCTGCCCTGAGTGGCACCCACAATCCTGCAGGTCAGTATTAGCTGTTCCTGTTGCTCCTGCCTGTGGGGTTGGATGGGAACCACAGGAGACCCACTGACCTCACGTCAGACTAACTCTGTCAAGGGTCGGAGTCCTCTGCTTCCTTCTAAATGGAAGAAGCCAGTTTCAGAAGTTCACCTTTTGTATAATGACTTACAGTTGATTGTGATGATTCAAGGTTCTGTGTTGATGAAATGTGCTTAGAGATTGGTGGAGACTGAGCCTGTATCTCCCCAGGAGCCCTGTTCTGTGCGCACTAATTCTGAGCTGATTTTGACTTTATAAAACAAACCACTATGGGTATCAAAGTCCTGTTCTTACTCAGCCTGGTGTCTTTCTGATGGTGCTGAGAAGCCAACACAGCTCCACTTCCTCACAGTGGCCTGAGGGGACAGCCTGAGCTTAGCGTCCCTACTGGCCCCCTGGACTGCTGGAGGCCAGGGTCAGGGTGTGCGGCTCTGTACAGTATCCAGCATGCCCATCCTTCACTACTAGCCCACTTATGTCCACCTGCACCCTGCTGCACCCGCCCCCCAGCCCCCAGAACTCTGTGCCCCTTGCCTCAGGCTACTGTCTGTGCACACATGCTGCCTGGCAAAGGCCTGGTTTCAGAGTACTCTCCCCATGAACTGTGCCCTAGTCTACTTTCTCTGTGCTTTATTAACTGCTCTCAGGGCTAGTTTGCTATCCAGCTCTACCCGCCCAGAACACAGAGTAGGGCTTGTTTCTGGCTGTGCTCAGTCACAGGTTATGGCATTACTCACAAGTACAGGGCCAAGCAGCCATGGGAGGTTGCTGTGGGAGCCACAGATGTGCACTTTGTTATCTGTCTTGCAGGAAATAAGCCTTTTTGTCCTCTGTCTGTGGAGTTGGGTTTAAAAACTGGCAAAATGCAGCTGCCCCTTGGAGGCCAGCCCACTCCAGCTGAGATGAAGCAGGATGTGCTGGTCTGTGTGGTATGGACAGGAGTGCACTGACCTTTCAGTGGCTCCCACAGCTTTGCCTCTTTTCAGCTGGATAGCTGGGGTCCCGCATCCTGTTCTTATCATTTATTTTTCCTTCCTTTTCTGCCCTCAGAGTAGCATCCTGGAGTTTAGCTGGCTTGGGGTTTCTAAATTTTGTGTTTTCAATATGAGTGGCCTGCCAACAGCCCTGCCTCTTCTCTGTCATGTGCTGGTGTGGAACAGGGAGACCCCACCTTCTCATCAGCTCTGTGACAAAGGCACGTGCTTCACCCTGCTGAGCACTGATGTCCTCACCTGTAAAATGAGTTGTTGTCAAGGTTAAATAGGAAAACACTCCGATATTACTGAGCCTTTGACCAGATCTGCATGTGCTGTCCTCAGTGGTTCTGCCAATAAGGATGGTAACACCGGAGCTGGAGTGTATCAGGGCAGGTATGTAGCCATAAACAGTGAGGTGCCCCTGTGTCTAGGACAGACCCCCTGATCTGTGTGACTGGTGAATGTCATACCAAGCCAGGTGTCCATTGGGGTGGGGGCAGAGGTTAGCCCTCCCTAGTTGACACTCACAATCCCAGGACCTTTTGACTGCAGCAGGGTTCTGAGGTGTTGGTCACTGTCATGCTATTTCCATGATTTACTAAAGTCACACCCATTCTGTCACTTAATCACTCCTGTGCATTGACATATTTTATTTAAATATATTTTAAGGGGAAACTGTTACTGTCAGAAATGAAAAACCAGTATCCTTCTAATAGATGTTGAAATAAAACCACAGCTAAGGTAAAAAAAATTTGGTGTCATTTAAAATAATCTCTTCCCTCAACCCACAGAGGGGCATGGCAATAAAAATGCAGTCAGTATCCTTTGTGAGTGGATGTAAAATCCCTTAACAGAGCACCAGCACATGGAGAAATGCATCCACACAAAGCTTTGTACACAGATGTTCACAGCAGTCAGAAGGAAAAGCAATGCCAGGTCCATCAACTAATGAGGAGATAAACAGTGTGTGTGTGAGATACATGGAAAATCTTTCAACCATGAGAAGTGGTGTGTTGACACAGGCCACAGAGGGGGTGACCCTCAGAAACATGCTGCGTGAAGAAGCCAAACACAGAAGTTCACCTCTCGATTCTCCTCACTTGAGGTTCTGTGTTGATGAACTGTTGTGACCAGAGGCTTGTGGGGACTGACCCTGTATCTCCCCAGGAAGGGTGTTCTGCATTCGCTAATTCAGTGCTCACAGTGATTTTAGAGAACTAAGCACCACAAATATCAATAAACAACTAAACATAAAAAGTCTAGAATGAGCAGGATGGACAGATGGAGATAAAAAATAGATTCGTGAATGCCATGGGCTGGGGGCACGAAGAATTAGGAGGATCAAGGCTTCTTTTTGGGTGACAGAAATGTTCTAGAACTAGAGATGTGTATAAATATACTAACCACCATTGAATCAAATAGGTGAACTTTATGTAGATTATATCTCAGTAAAGCTGTTAAAAAACAGAAAGTCCTGTGCTTTCCCAGGCTGACCTGCTGATTAGCTGTGTTCAGGTTTGTAGGTCAGAGCAGTGGCCCTAGATAAGGTTTTCTGGGTTTATTTCCACCCTTTGTTTCTAAAATATAGCCATTCTCAATATGTGTGAGTGCTTTGACTTTTTTTTTTTTTTTTTGAGACAGAGTCTCACCATGTCACCCTCTGTAGAGTATGTTGACATCACAGCTCACAGCAACCTCCAACTCTTGGGCTTAACAATTCTCTTGCCTCAGCCTCCCAAGTAGCTAAGACTATAGGCACCTACTACAACGCCTATTTTTTTTTGCGGTTGTTGTTGTTTTAACTGGCCCAGGCTGGGTTCAAACCCTCCAGCCTCGGTGCATGTGGCTAGCACTGTAACCACTGTGCTATAAGCACTGAGCCTGCTTTGACTTTTTAATTAACATATTTATTCAAATATTTTAAAAAATCCTCTTTCCCTGGCCATAAGAAGCTTCCTGAGCTGCTCTGAGATGCCCCAGGTAGGCACAGGAAGCTGGACTCCCGCACGGCCTCCCTCATCCTCACAGGGAATGACTTTGTCACCAATGTTAAATCATAGATATTTTCACATCATGTAGTCATACTCAGATATCCTCAACATCATTGACAGTAATAATTTTTAAAGAATGGTACATACTGTTATTTAATGCCTTAATGTGAAAGCACTTATAGCAATGTATCACACATTTGTTCTGATTGTCTTCAAAATAACTTATTTCCTTTGTAATCCCTTGTGTTTTATGCCTTTAAAAATGTTGTTCTGACAAGGAGTTCCCTGTCATCATCAGGTTATTAATGGGCACTTGGCACATACTAATCTAGGAGCCCCTCTTGCATGTGAGGCTCAGACTATGGGCTGGGAGTGCCTCAGGCTTCATCCTCACAGGGCCTCAAGATATTGTCTTGAGGACTGTATGATCTATGCAGCATCTCTGCCCACCAACTCAGACTCTCCAGCTCCTTCCCTCTGTATTTACTAGCCTTCCCCTGCATCTACCTTGGTATAGGCTTTCCCCATGCACAAATAGAAGCTTTGCCCACTTAAATAAGAGAACAGCTGGCTCAGTGCCTGTGGCTCAAGCGGCTAAGGCGCCAACCACATACACCTGAGCTGGCGGGTTCGAATCCAGCCTGGGCTCACCAAACAACAATGGTAGCTGCAGCCAAAAAATAGCTGGGCATTGTGGTGGGCACCTGTAGTTCTAGCTACTTAGGAGGCAGAGGCAGGAGAATCGCTTGAGCCCAGGAGTTGGAGGTTGCTGTGAGCTGTGATGCCACAGCACTCTACCTAAGGTGACAGCTTGAGGCTCTGTCT